ATCAATCTATATCGTGTCATCAATTATCTAATACAAAAGAAGTCCATATTTTTTGCAATCATAAAAATAGTACATATTGTTCAGGTGCATTACCACATGTATCTGTTGTAAGTTTATTTATTTTCTCTTTTGTTCTTTTGATAACTCATGATTGCCAAAAAGAAATACTTAATTTTTTTCAAGTCTATTTATTTCTATATTTATTTTAAGAATTGATTCTAAGAGTTCTCTCGATTATTATAAACATTTATTCTACCTTTGTAACTATTATATTTTGATGGCGTGATCATTCTTTTTTAATACTTAGAAATCTAGGGTTGTTATGGGCTTGACAAATTAAGCTAAAGGTATACTCACAGTTATAAGCAACTGATCAATGATCGCTTTGCTTATAAAGTACTTTTTTATGAGATGTTTTATTTTCATAGCTAACAATAAAAAAAAAGAAAATAATCTTCTTTTTCTTCTAACTTCGATGACTAAGGTTCGTACAACTGAAACATTGGAAAAGACAATACTTTCGTTTTTGTTCTATATATTCTTGCAATTTTACAAACAATATCGTTGATCGATTGATTCTTTCATGATTTTTTGATATTGTCCCAAAAGAAGTACTCATGATTACTAGTAAACGAGGTCACTGTTTCTTTACTGAATAATCATTAAAAATATTGAATACTTTTTTCATGTTACTCAGAATGGCAAGTAAAGCAATCTTTCAAAGTTGCCAACAATAAAAAGTATTTTAACAAACGAAATAGTAAATAACTATTATGCATAGTTATTTAGAACATTAAAAAAAAATCAATTTATTCTTTTAAAACAAAAATTATGTAGGAAAATGACTTCTTTACTTTCTTTAAGGATTCAATTAACATTTTCCCATTAACATCAACGAAGAAAAAGACTACACGTAATTCTCTCCCAGCTCCAGTTAATAATCGTATTACGAGTAGTATTCGTGGTCCAACATGGTGGTTATCATTAATATTATTACTTATATCTGTTGCTATTGGTTTTCAACTTGGTCTTGTTTTCCTATGTAATATTAAACGATGTCTAACTGATGATTTATCTTTGGAACAAGATCCTAATGGTCTCTATGATAGTAATCGAGCAAATTCATCACTTGTTTCATCAATTAATTTACCCCGTGTATTACAAAAGAAACAATTAATTCTTGTTGCTATTATGACAAGTAAAGATTTTTTAACAACACGTGCACCAACTGTTATGCGTACATGGGCAGGAAACGTACCTGGACAAGTGATATTTTTTTCAAGTGAAGGTTCAACAACAAATGATTCAAATATTAATCTTGTTAGTTTACCATCAGTTACAGATGCATATCCACCACAGAAAAAATCATTTCTTATGATGAAATATATTTATGATCATTATTTAAATAAATTTGAATGGTTTATGCGTGTTGATGATGATGTTTATATAAGAACAGATAATTTAGAACAATTACTTCGTTCTATTGATAATCGTACGATTTCTTTGTTTTTTTTTTTTCTATATTTGAAAGGTCATTATCTTTTGTTTGTTTAGGTAAACCATATTACATCGGACAACCAGGCATGGGAACGAAAGAAGAATTTGGTAAATTAGCGTTAGGTGAAAATGAAAACTTCTGTATGGGTGGTCCCGGTATAATATTATCTCGTGAAACTCTAGCTCGATTTACTCCACATATAAAAAAATGTTTAAAAAATTTTTATACTTATCATGAAGATGTTGAACTTGGTCGATGTGTACATAAATACGCAAATACATCATGTACATGGTCGTATGAAATGCAACACATTTTATATAATCATCCAAATAAAACCGAAGGTTATAAAGCTCGAAATTTAGTATCAACAGATATTTTACGTGCAGTTAGTCTTCATTCAATAAAAGATATACGTGTATTTACACGTGTACATAATTTTGCTTTACAACGACGAATTATTGAACTTGAACAACGTAATATGTTATTGCATCGACAAACACGTGTTTATGATAAAATTCTTAATATAGAAAATCAAATAAAATTTCTAATAAAAAGACTTTTTAAATTAATACAAAAAACTAAAAATGAACACATGCAAAAAAAATTAAGACAAATGTATAAACAATTAAATATGCCTGATCGACATATTGCTGAACAATTAATGACATTGTATAATAACACATATCGATTATTTAAAATTGACGATGATGAACAATTGACTATAGGTATAATATCATACCATAATTTAGAACATATGAATTTGTTAATTTTATTAAATATATTTAGATCGTCTATTATGGAATGCTTTACAAATATATTTTAATGAATCTCTTCCATCATCAAATGATTTAACTTTTTCCTTTTTATTCGATTCAATCCAAGCAATGTCTAATAATTATACACACACGAAAAGATCTTTAAAAGAAAAACATAGCCATAGCATTTATTCATTATTTACTGCTAGTCAATATTCAGCTAATACAGAATTGCCTGTTCGATCAATTGAACCAGCATATAAACAATGTTTTGATGAAGTTGTTCGAACGTATATGGAAGCAGTTAATAAAATTTCAAGAAATATGGGTCGATTTTTAGAATATAAAAAAACTTTATATGGTTATTATAAATATGAACCAAGACATGGAATGAATTATATTCTAGATTTATATCTTATCTATCGAAAATATATGGGCAGAAAAATGTCGGTAAGTTAATAAATATTTTAATGAATCAATGACTTTTTCTTTTAATTGGTATAAAACAAAAATTTCAAATTAGAATATCTAATAGACATTCTCTCTTTATCTTCCTAAATAAAAAAAAAAAATTTTGTTTCTAGTAATAATTTGAATTCTTATTCTTTTTTAGGTACCCGTACGAAAACGTATTTATGTTGTGCAAAAATTTCGTCCACTATATTTTCGTGAGCTTTCTTCATCATATTCAAGTGCAATATTATCTCCTGTTGGAGCTGGCTCTCCTAATCTTATTAATTCTATTTCACCGGTGATTATGAATGCAAATACGACTATAATTTTACCTTCGGCACCTGTTCCTATTCATATGATTGTGCCTGTTAGTGGACGTCTTCCTACTCTCAAACGATTGTTAACAAATTTTGATCATATCGTGATGCGTTCTAATGATTCTGATCTTCTTAATGTACATCTTTATATAATTCTAATGGAAACAGCAGAAGATAGTGGTGAACGTATGTCAACACTTGCTGATTATATAAAAAAATTTATTCAAAAATATCAATCATCACGTATACATTTAATTGAAGTTGAAAATGGAAATTTTACACGAGGTTATGCACGTTCATATGGTGCATCTCGTTTTAATGATACTGATCTTTTATTTTTCATTGATCTTGATATGGTTTTTACTCGTGATCTATTTTCACGTATACGTCATCATACGATCTTTAATAAACAAGTTTATTTTCCGATCATATTTAGTCAATATGATCCAAGTTATTGGGAAACAACACAAACTTCATTAAATTTCTCTTCTTTTAATCTTCGTGATGATATTGGTTATTGGCGCCTATATGGCTTTGGTATGCTCGGAATATATAAAGTTGATTTAGGACAAATTGGTAGTTGGAATGTTGAAATAAGTGGATGGGGAAAAGAAGATGTAGAAATTTATGATAAATTGGTACAATGTCCAACTTTAAATGTTTTTCGAACAATTGATAATAGTTTAATGCATATATTTCATACAAAAGATTGTTCACCAACATTACGTGATGATCAAATGAATATGTGTAAAGGAACTAAATCGATAACATTAGGATCACAACGTATATTAGTACGATATGTTCAAAAACTCATTGAGCTCAATAAAATCTGATATATTGTTTTGTTTTTCTTTTCATTGACTAAGATATAATTACTAAGCTAATCGAAAATAATACTTTAAAACGAAAGATTGGTCTTAGTAAAACCATAATAGTAAATTACCATCAGATAATTGTATTCCAATCAGATCAATTTGACTATCATAATTGAAATCAGTATTTTAACAATTCAACTAGTTCATAATGCTCTATTGATCAGTTATAATCATGATTAGCAGTATAACCAGCAAGACGAGCTAAATCAAAATAAATACTAAAATGAGATTCTAACAATATCAGTATGCGAAATTCATAGCACATTCAATAAAAATCCTCACGATTATAATCAATTTTTCGAAATGTATTTCGATCTAAACTTTTCTTCCAATTTAGATTTGATTGAATGAAATTTCGATCGTAAAAGCTGTAAGGACGATTGGAAGTTATTGATACTGATGCGGGTTTTTCTAAATAATTCCTAATTATTTGATTGTCTTACATACCGATACAAATTGACTAGAGAATAATTCTATGCTACATTTAGGCGTCATACATGATGATGAATTCAATATCAACTGTACGATGCATATGAATTTTCAAATGATTAAATAATTACTGTGATTTTTGTTACGAAGATATTTATGAGAGGAACAATAGTCTATTGATTAGTCTCTATATTGCAACATCTACTCGAGAACATGATTCAAATATATGTATTATGTACACGTATAATAGCCATTATTATCGCTTGTACTTTGAGTACTTTTCTATTCTTCTACAACAGTTCATTTCTACTTAGAAGTTATTTTGGGTGACACAGCCTATCAAAAAAACTTTTAGAACATATATGTCTCTCTTCTTAGTGGAATAAGAACAAGACGTTGATGACGTAAGTATACTGTTCATTTTTTTCTCGTCACCTTTGAACGTTGGCCTGTAATTTTCTTACAAGTAAAAAAAAAGTTCATAACACAATAGATCTATACATATAAAAAGAACAGTATATGTCTGGTAAGAATAAAGGAAGAAAAAAAAAAAGAGAACGAAAAGCTGTTACGTTTTTCTCATCTTTCATCGTCAGTATGACAAAAAAAAGAAAAAGCTAGTCTTAAACTCGCCTGACCTCACATATTCATTGGCATATACCTACAAAGAAAAATGATCTATCGTAGATGTTTACTGCTTTTTATTGTTGTATTTTTTGAAACCATAAGTGCATTACCTCAATATATTTATCGTCATCAAACAAATTCGCCGAAAAATAATGATCCTGCCTATCAACGACTGTCGGTTGGATCAAACGCTCTAAGTGGTTCTATTTCAGGTACCTACAATTATGGTGAGTATAAGTGTGATTGAATGATAATTCTTTTATTCGTTTATATACAGGGGCTGGAGTTGGTCCACGCTATGACTCATTTATACCAATTCAAAATCGTCCTAATGGAGGTGGTATTTTGCCAATAAGTTATAATGCTGGCTCTAATATAAATAAAGACCTTATAAATCCAAATCTACAGCAACAACAGCATAAAAATTATTTGTACAATAATAATAACGCTTGGCAACCACTAAATACGAAGAATTATTATAATCAACCTTCCAATCGTTATCCACACGGCAGTCAAGGATGGTATGCAACTGGTGGTAACTTTTTGTACAATAATGCACAATCTATAGCTGCGCATCCTTATCTTTTGATGCTAAGTATTTCGATTTTAGTTATTTGTGAATAACGAAATAGATTGAATGATGTTTGATCAATTTATCTGTTTTATTATAATTAACTGTATACGAATTTTTGTTAAATAAAATAAATCATACGTTTATTAGAAATAAGATTAAGATATTTTATTAAGTATTTAAAAAATTTTTTTTCATTTCACAAAATTTTGTGATTATAAATTCTATTATGTTTGTGTGTGTTGCAATAACAACATAATGACTCAGAAAATTGTACAATTTTTTTTCTAGTCAACAATAACGAATGAAAATTACATAATGAATGCAAGAATGTCATCGATGGATTGGTTAGATTATTTTACACCAGTGAATTTTGCATCAACAAAACTAATTGACGATAATGAACCTTATGGAAATTGTCGTCTATTACGAGATGATTGTAATGATGAACAACTTAATAAAGCAAAATGGGCATGGACTATAAGTCAACAAACAACGAAAAAATATTGTAGTGAATTGGGTCGTACATTTCAAGTTGATATACCTAATCAACGTTTCTTTGTCGTACATGAACCATTTATAAATAACGCGAGATCAAAATCTATACCTTTGCTGATTTTTTATCATGGTCTAAATTCATGCGCTTGGTATTGTGCACTTGTGCGAACTGGATGGCTACAATTATCTGCTAAATACAAGTTTTTAGTCGTTTTTGGTCAAGGACAAGGTACTTTTTATGAATGTGGACCTCAACGTAATCAATATGGTCATCTTGGTTTTGGTGATTTATATTGGGAAATAGAACAACCTAAAGATGATTTTGATTACCTTGACTGTCTATTAAATTATATAAAGAATAAATATGAAGATCTATTGGATACAGATCGCATCTATTTTATGGGCTATTCTAATGGAGCTTTGTTTAGTTCAAATGTTGCTGTGCATTATGGTGGACAAACATTTGCTGCTCTTTGTAACCATTGTGGTGGTTTTGGTGGTCAGTATAATGAAGAAAAAATGTTACAACCTAGAGATATTATTGCTCCATTACCAATTTATATTCTAACCGGTACTGATGATGCTTACAAGGAAAGTTGTCTAAAAGCAAAGAATTTGTTCGAAATGGCACATTGTTCAGTAACTATCGATATATTGGAAAATAAAGGACATTCTTATTATATTGACAAGGAAGAATTCATTTGGACTCAATTTTTTCTTAAGTATCAATGTTCGAAACTACACGATTAATTTAATATATATTATCATTATAAAAGAATCACATTTTGTGCTGAGTAATATCAGTGAACCATAAATGATTAAATAAATTTTCTTATTAGATTAAAATTCTCTATGAAGTTAGCTATATTCAAAAAGCGAAAAGCGTCTAAATACCGATAGAAAAAAGATAACTATAAAATAAACTATCTTTAATTTCTCATGCTGTCTGATTAAAGTTTAGGATCTTTATTCAGCCTTTACTCAGAGCAATTGGAATAGATCTACATCCATGTTAAATTAATTTATTATTCTTGCAGATCAACATCAATTTACATTTATAGATAGTAGAAACGGCTAGAATAGAAGTCGATTTTAATATGGAAATAAAATATCGGATCCATAATAAATGAAAATTGTCATAATAAACAATATTAGAGCATTAGGATTACTCATTTACCTAATTGAAAAAATTTCTTATGACAAAAATTATTAAAAATGATTAGAATTTTGAAATATGGATTAGATAGTCAATATCAAATGATGATCTGTTGGCTGATGGAACGAATACGTTTAACTTTTTTAGTGTCCATTTCTAAATGCACTGTGTGAAGATTTTTTATGGTCAAGTCTTTGATCAGAGTTTATACATTTTCAAGATTAATTAGACCTTTCTAATATTTGTACGAAACACTAATAGACGACATTCTCTGCTGATTCCTTATGATAGAAGGTCGTAATTAGTATAGTATTCATCACATAGATAATTTTAGTTAATAATGCTAACAAAATACGGAAAATAAAAATGGTCAAGACAAAAAATATGATATAATCCATGTTTCCAATATTAAGTACCTTAAGCGAAAGGAAAGTATCTGAAGTACTAGCCATTTTGAAAAAGTACTGTGTTTTGCATTGAACTGCAAAAACAATAAAGTCCCTTCATGATATTTGTCAAAGAAGAAAAAGCAGTTCCTTTATTTGTTGCGCCATTATTGGAATGTTTTTCGTCTTACTTTTGTCTATATATATTTTAATTCAATATCTAGCAGTGAATCATTCCCTCTTTTAGTGCTATCAATTTGATTAGTGAAATTTCTCTTTTTTTGTGATTTTAAAATTTCAATATTGTTTCTTATGCATTCTTTCTTCATTACTTCGTTTGGGACGTATTAAGTGAGAAATCTCAATCGAATCGATCTCACCACCTTGTGATGAATGTATTAACAAGCACGAACAAGAGCAATAGTAGTTACTTTCATTTTATCCCTTTTTTATTTTTTTTATACACATATAAGAGTTAAAAATTAATTTAGAGAAGTATTTCTTAAACCTAGACAGATGAATATGTGTACTCTATTTTACCACATATGTTTTTATCATAGGAACATATTTCTCATCACAAAATGCAAATAGTGATAACTATGTCTTTATTTTTTATTGACCAATCTTTTGCTATGATACTTTAAGATATTTTGCTTCAGGTCTTAATCGGAAATTCTGGATATTATGTTGTTGTCAACGTTGCCTAGCTCTTCTGTGAAAAAGAGATCTTTTTCATTAACCCGATCATAACAAGACGTTAGCTTGTGTATCTATGGATGTGTTACAGAAATCATGCAAGGAATCATCTACATAAAATACAATAGATAATATTTGGTTCATTTCTGACGACCTAGATCATAATTTGTCTGTTTTAACACGAATACGAATGATAGTTACGGCAGAAGGAAAAAAGTATACACGGTACATACAATCAGACAAGCTTATGAAAAATATGAGAAAAGAAAAACTCTAAGATGCATAATATATTATTTCTGTATTATGGTAGAACTGTCAGCAATTTGTTCTATTTTGATATCATGTTTGCTACTTTTCGATCATATCAAGTTTTCGAAATTTTCAATTCCAATAGGACATATATTAACTTAATTTTCTATATAAAAATCTAGAGCTTTATTTGCACTTTCCAATGCTGTACTCTTTTTTTTTAAAGAAGGCTAAACAATTAATCAAAACATAGTTCATAAAGATCAACAATTTAATCTGGACCACTCGCTATTTTGATAATGACACAGTTAGATGGATAAAAATAAGTAGAGAAAGAAAAGCTTGATAAAATGTTAAATAGATGCTTAATGTCTAGTGCAGAGCTAAATAATCGTAGACATTTTTTGAATAACTATAAAACACCAAGCACTAAACAGTTTATGAGTTTTCAATAGTGTTCAAAATGTATTTCCAGTTTTAACATAATGTTTAGAAAGGTTTGCTATAATTTCAAGTTTTGAAAAATGATAACGTCTGGTCCGTAGTAAAATCTCGGTACGTTTTGATTGAAAATAATTAGTGATCTTAGTTTTGTGATACTTCACAGACCAGATGGTAGTCTTTCTAATCACAATATTACACTCTGAAATTCATAGTTTAACTAAGTCAAGAAGTGTTCCTCTGGAAAACTGAGTATGTGTCCAACACGAGAAGTAAGAAAACTCTTTATAGACTATGTAAAAACATAGAACTATGTCGACTAGGCATATTGCTGAAAAATCCGAACTGTAACTCTTGTTTCTTAGTTGGGTAATTATGCTTTTAGACATATAGTCTATAGATAAATAGGTTGTTAGACAAATAGTTAGTCAATAAGTAGTCACATAGGTAAATATATAGACGGTTAAACAATCGATTGGTATGAAGGTAGGCAGATCGTTACATGTGCTTGTAATTAATTTAACGAGTAAAGAGATATATAAGAATATCTTCATATTAGTTAATGATATTATATGAATTGCTTAGTCAGCCCAAAATGTCCTAGAAATAGAAAAAGAAATAATGGGGCGTGTAAACTCATGAAAAATCTACATATTTCTCGATACAAATCAGAGTTTCCATTGATGATTCAAAAATTCTTATAAGAAGTAGATGCGAAAAAGACCAAATATTTGTAACAGATTGCTCCTCAAAAGTATTAGATTAAGTGACAGATGTTCATTTTTATGCCACATTTTTCTGCATGCCTTGAGATGGCAATTGAGAGCCACGATTAGCATCCAAAACGATCGAAAATGTTTAAGCTTTTTCATACATTTTTTTCATTTTTTTCGTCTGCTTGAGCATTCAGTTATAACAGCCGCTAGCATACTTCTCATATCATGTTCGATAAAATTATTCTTTCCATTACCAAGACTTAAATATGTTTATTTATAAAACGCATAAAGTCAGTATATTCTTTTTATGATTTTTTGATGAAAAATTTCCATTTATGATTTTATATGAAGTAAAATTAAGTAAAGGAGAGAATGAAGCATTTCGTTCTTTGACTCTATTCTACTTTCAAATGAGTTAAATAAAGAAAGACAATAGTGACTAAATGAATTGCAGATTGAATGTTTGAAATAGATCAATTTAGTTATAATGCATTAGACACATTTCATATTCGATGAAGAGTGAAGGAGAAAATGACAGTCATAATTTAATATTTTAATGTGAAAAAAAAATGTATTGGTTGAAGAATACTGATAATCAGTTAGAAATAAGGCTTCTTACTTCACAATAGCCCTCATTTTATACAGAGGCTTTGATTGACAATGAAAAATTTATATCAATAGTTTGTGTTTAAATATGATCTTGGCAGATTTGTTCCAAGGTGTGGGTTTCAATGTGAAAGAGATCCTCCCACCCATACCGTTTTAAATATAATGACTACTTGAAAACTATAACTTCAAAGTACTCTAGCTAGATGAGCTTAAATTTTCCTGAAATCAGTTGGATACATTATTTTCAGTATGTAAGATTGCATTATTATTGAACTATTATAAATAATAATTTTTTTTAGACTTCATCTGTTTATATGTACAAGATTAGTCAAGTAAACAAGAAAAGAAGCAAAAAGCGACTCTTATTATACAAAACAAATGATTCGACAGTTTATGAGTATTTCAAAAAACACTTAGCAAACCAAAGTGATCATCATATTACTGTGTACTATTGCATTTAATGTATGATTTAAATCGCTTGTACCCGTGTATAATACAAATTTGAACTTGTAAGTGATGCAAGATCAGATGAAGCAGATTGTCCATATCGTTGTTGTTGTGGATATTGTCTAGTAACTGGTATTGAATCTATACTATCTGCAAGATAATCATTACTTGTATGACTTTTTGTTGATGGAAACATAACATCATTATGATGAATTAATGGTTGTCGTGGTTTTATCGAAGATTTTAAAGTATCAGTACAATGTGAATGATCATGAAGATTATTTTCTCGACGATGGTGAGAAAAACAAAAAATTAAGAAAAGAATAAAACCAAGAATAAACAAAGGAATGACAATGGCGTAGAGTAAAATTTTATAATTATTGGTTGATGTTATTTTGCCTGAAATAAAAAGAAATTTTTTTTGGAATGGATATATATTACAATTTCTAATAATTTATTAATATTTCTATCTAGCAGATAGAGACTGTTTTTTTTCTGAATCTATATCAATATTACATTCAGCTATGCATCATACAAAACAATTGTTCTGTAGTTCGACTTAATACCTGATCATAAACGGAATACCATTGTGATTTAATCATGTATTTGTTACTTTATTTATCTTTTCAATAGTTTATATAAGTTCTATCTTAAGCTACTATGCTATTCTGAGAAATGTCTCAAAGGTTATTTCAGATAAGGAATGAATTTGTGCTCTTTCAGGACATATGCTTAAAATTTGCCGGGCCTTGTGACTATTAACGTATAAATTAATCTTAATAAGTTTTGTAAATATATAGTAAACTTTATTGTCCGTCAACAGTTCGAACGAAATGTACCGTTTTTACAGAATTATTTTCTGTATCTTGCAATATATTTGATCAAACTTAGTAGCAAGTCTTAAATGAATTTCATTTGAGGTTTTCTTCTTCAAAAGTCATAAATCTCAGAAAAAATTCTAAGTATACATTCTGAAATTTTTATATGCGAAAAGTAGTCAAATATTTTCTTTAGGAAATTTTGCTCTACTTCTTTTTTGAAATCTTCTCG